CCACGTAGCATAAGCTTCTCTGGCCGGAGGCCTCGGCCTCAGCGCACCGCGGAGGAAACGTGTAACTAGGGGTTGTCTACCCACTGACTGGTCACCAAGAGGGGCGTGGTAGGCCGCAATAGCCGCCACGTAGACCTTCAGGGTGGAGTGGGTCAACCCAGCAGAAAGACGGGCCTGCAGGAACTCCAGCACTGTACCAACTGGGCAGTTAACTGGGTCAAGCTGGCGATCTTCTTACCAAGAAGTGAAAAGTTTCCACTTCAAGGCGTACAGTTTCCTCGTAGAGGGAGCTCTGGATTGGAGGATGGTCTCAACAACCTCGATTGAGAGACAGGAAGCTACGAGCTGTGCCCCCTCAGGAGCCACACCCATAACTTCCACAGCTCCGGGCGGGGGTGGACGATCGTACCCTTCGTCTGAGAGAGGAGATCTCTCCTGACGGGAATCTCCCATGGAGGGCCGTCGAGGAGAGACATCAGGTCCGAGAACCATACTCGGCCCGGCCAGAACGGGGCTACTAGCAGTAGACGGACCCCGTCCCGGCGCACTCTCTCCAGAACTCCCGGGAGCAGAGCGATCGGGGGAAAGGCGTACAGATGAAGCCTCGGCCAAGTCTGTACCATAGCATCCAACCCCAGTGGAGCCGGATGAGTCAGAGAGAACCAGAGGAGACAGTGCGATGTCATCTGAGTCGCAAACAGGTCCACCTGAGCCTGGCCAAACATTCTCCATATCTGCTTCACCACCTCGGGGTAAAGCCTCCATTCCCCAGGCCTCGACAGGATGTCTGCTCCCATATTCAGATGCCCAGGAATATGTACTGCTCTCAATGAATGGATTTTTCCCTGGGACCACACAAGGATCTGGTGCGCCAGCTTGTAAAAGGGGCGCGAACGCAGACCTCCCTGGTGGTTGATATAAGAGACCACCGCTGAGTTGTCAGTGCGCACCAACACATGACAATCTCTCAGGTCCGGGAGGAAGTGCTTCAAAGCTTGAAACACGGCCAACATCTCCAGACAGTTGATGTGCCACGTGAGATGGCGACCGCTCCACAGACCG